CGTGGCCACACGAGGGCTTAAAACTTAATTAACATTTTTTGTATCACAGAGCTTAAAACTTTATTAACATTTTCAAACTACTTGATATCAAGATATGCGTAATCATTTGGAAAATAGAAGATTAAACCACTACTAATCTAGCAAGGTGAGATAAATGGAGACACGACTGAATTATATATAACTTTTTCGCTACCATGAAATCTACCAGAAACCATCAAGAGGTACGAGTAAAAGCAAGAGCTGGAATCTTCTTACAACAAAAACATAGCATAGACCCATAACACAGAGACATAGATTACCACTAAGCTAAGACCAATGTCCTTGAGACAATAACTAAGTGCACCCACAAAATCCAGAGAACATTAACATCATCATTAGAGCATCAAGAAAGAACAGAATCCACTCAAAGCGATCAGGAGAAGGCAGATGAACAATTTGCTTGAGTTCATCAGAGCAAAGGCGCTGCTCTCTGTCGTGTAATCCGGGTTAATCCCTGTTCCAGTGCTATTACTTCCAAAGACTCCATTGGTCGGGTTTCCTGAATAAGGACTGTTGCCACCAGGAAGTGTGGTGGTGGTGGTTGAGCTGCCTTTTGGATTGGATGTGCCAGGTGTCACGGTGGTGCTGCCGCTAGAGCCGCCAGAGCCGCTAGAAAACAATAAGCCACAAATTACATTAAAGAGAATATAAGACAAGAAACAACCAGTCTGGGAGACTCATAATTGAAGCTGGTTCTATGAAGTTTATATAACCAGACCAAAAATTGATAAAATGAGATTTGATCTAATGAAAGAACTCCACAGCAAATTGATAATATAAACTCAAACAATAAAAAAAAAGAAGAGTTTCATTTTCTAATAACTAAAAGGTCTTTGAAGGGTCAAAAAGATTATATATTTGTAGTACTATTGTGTATACGGCCATATCAGTCAAGAACACTGATCATGCGTTCAAACAGTAATCCAATAAAGTATAATCAAAACTTTGGTTAAAGAAATAAGGAAATTGAGTACTTTAAGGATTACGTTGAACACTAACAGGTAAAAGGGTCTTAAAAAATGAAGAAGCAATCGACTGGTCATAAATAGAGTCAAATATTCATCACTTATTTTAATTCATTTTTTTTCTTCTATTTAAGTAATATTAATGATGCTGTTTACTATTTTTAATTGATTTGAATGATGCTATCTCTTTCATAACAAAAGTAAAAGTTGCAAACTTGGGACCCAAATCAAGCTTTAGTCCACTCTTTCTCTTTGCCACAACAATTATAGTAAACAAGTTGATTCAAAATTCTTTGGTTTTGGTCCCATAAAAATGCAAACGTTTCTATCAAATTCTTGATTACGCCATTTGGATCAGAAGCATACCTGGCACTAGTAGGAAAGGTACATCCAGAATAACCTGTAAAAAAAAAAACAAACACACTGATTACTATCCACAAACTTGAAGCTAGAAATATGTCTTTTTATCATGCATTTTGGCCGTATCCTCATTGCATCAGAATCTTGAATACAAAAAAATCATTTCAATAATAACAAAAACAAAAAAAGCCTCAAACTTTCTGTGACTATTAATCAACAGGAATCCTAACACAATCAATCAAAAAGCAATTCAAGTTTCTTTAGCATTGTACATGAAAGATGAAGAAAGAGCAGCAAAAATGAGGATGGTTATTGAGACTAACTCGGATCGGTGTTAGTTGGAGTGGCAGTGCCACCGAAATCACAAGTGCCAACAGCTTGACCCTTCTTTTGGAAGAAGCTATTGACTGCATAGTTGCAATGAGACCTAACATTGTCAGGGCTAAAGCAAGGTGCTTTTGGGTGAGTGGGATTACAGTCTGCTCCATTTCCACAGGCATAGTCTAGGGTTTTCTGTAGCACTGCATCACTCAGTCCTTTGCACACACACCATGAAGCACCTACATAGACACCACAAGAAAAGCCAACATTTAGCGGTTTTGTTGATTCAACAACACCATAAAGGCTCCACCTTCTTTGTTCTATAATGTGAAGCCAACAAGATTTGGGGGAAAATTTGAAATTTAGTTTGAGGGGTTTCATCTTTAAAAGCCAAGATTTGAAAACTTTCAACAATAGGGTTCGCAAGACCAGCAAGATTTCTAGAAATTTGTAAACTTTGCCAAGCAAAAATACTTCAATCCATAAACAAACAAAGGGGGACTTAAAGAAAAAGAGAGGAAGATGTAAAATGAGACAAGAACAGAAAACAAATCTTGATTTTTTTCTTTTTTCTTATTTCATTCTTCAAAGCAAGAGCAACCAAAGAAATAACTATGATATACTTAACAATAGATTGAAAAATGTGGTAATTTTTTTTTTAATCTGTTTATCAATGGCAAAACACTCAGGAACAGTAAGACCCTTGACTCTACTACAAGAACTCTTTTTCAGACCAGAACCAAAAGGCTTAAGAGTGAGAAAGATAAGAAATCTAAAGAAGAGTGAGGAGTTCTTACTAGAATGCCCAACCATGGCAAGAAGGAGAAGTGAAAGCAGCAGAGAAGCCATAGATGCGTTCAGACAAAATGTCACTGTTGTCCTCA